TGTCCAGAGCCCTGGCAAGTCGACGCGCCACCCGCTATGCCTGTGTATCCGGTCGCTTGTGCTACGCGGACAGCACGAGGAGCAAGAGAGACGATGAGGAACGGCAGAAGTACAAGTGGCGAGGAGGAGGAACCGATACGGCAGTCAGCGGAAAGCGACACGGGAGACAGCTATGACGACAGCGTTGGGGGGCGACGACATGTGCGACGCTGCTGCGAATGCCGGCACTGCGGCCGTGGCATCCTGGCTACAAGCAGCGCCACGCACAGAAGCCCATAGCGGGTCCGTGCCGGCGGCCAAGGAGCTCATCGCCGATATCAAGGAGACAGGAGAGCTGACGGAGGAGGGGGAACGAAGAGAGCGAGAAGTTCTTAGAAAACGAGAAGGACCAAGCCTGCTCGAGACAGCAGGAGAACCACGTACCGAAGACAACAGGCGTAGACTCGACAGCGCAGCAACCCCTGACTGCGTTGTCCTGCACGAGGTCTGGGGGGGGGGCACCCGTACGTCGTCAGCCTCAGGCTCGGTGCGGAGCGCGCGTGAAGAGTCGGCAGTGGCAGCGGGCAGCAGTGGCAGCAAACAAAGGCCAGCAGTGGCAGCGGAGGCGTTGCCAGCTGCAGGCTCGGAGTGGCGCATGCGAAGCGGATCAACAGACGTCATCAGCTACAGGCTCGGCGCGGCAAGGCGGCCACCAGTGGAATTTAGAGAACCAGGTCTACGTCGGCAACCTTTCTTACGACATCGACTGGCGCGTACCGAACGACCACGTGGGGCAGGCGGGCACCGTAGTATGTTGCAACATGGTCACCGAATGCGGCGCCGCCTGCGGCATGTCGATGGGGTATGGATGGGTGCAACTCTCGCCGAGCGCGTTCCACTACTCGCAAAGCGCCTACTCGCAAACGTCCTTACAAAAATAAGGGTCTTCATCTATGTACTATATCGTAAATCCCGCGCGGCGGATCCAGGCCATTTGCGAGTACTTGATTTGCGAGGGAGCGCGCTTGTCCAAATTCTCTTCTGCGCCAGAAGTCCAGCAGGCAATCGCCACAGTGGCAGACAGAGCTCGTGGGCCAGAGGTGGCCAAAAGGTGGGTGGAGAGGGGGCTCAAGAGACGGGGTTCAATGCAAACGGGGGTCAGCCAGAGCGCCAGGTCTTGCAGGACTCTGCAGAACCAGGGATGCATTGACCCGGGCTTGCGTGCAGGATCCTTCAGGATCTTGAAGGATCTTGCAAGGCCTGAGTAACCGGGGTCTGGATTGACCTGGGTCACTAGATCCTCGAGGTGGGTGGAGGGGTGCGGGGGGGCCAGGCACAGCGTTGTGCACCAATGTCGGCATCCCTGCCACTGCTGCTACCCATGCCCCGCCCTTCGAGATTGCGCTATTACGCGCGAGCGAAGTACAATGTTTGCTGCACCTATCGGCTTCTACCGTAAGCGTGGTGCCGAGAATTTGGCAGCGGTAAGGCTTAGAGAATTGGGAGCTCAAAGTAGGAGACCAGCGCGTGTGAGACCGACCGGCAGTGGTGCAGGAAGAACCGTTCCGCAGATGTCGCGCGGGCTGGGGCCGCGCAGTGGTTGCCATGTGAGCCAGGGATGTCTCCACTGCAGTGCGAGAGAGGCAGAGAGTCGCACGCAGGGTAGCTTCGACGATGCCGCACGCACTGCTGGCTCACAGCCTCTTGCCAGCCTCGTGCAGCAGGGATTTCCCCAGCGATGCCCACAGCGGTTGTCTGCCGTTGGCCCACCCACTCCCTTGCGTGGGCGCCCGAGATGTCGCGCGGTGCCTCCCAGGCAATGCCGTCCGCCCGAGCAACCGCGACGGTGCTCGCGCACGCTTGCCATGCAGGAGCAGCTGTTGTGTGCGGAGCTTCTTATCGAGAGGTTGCTGCCCGGCTTCTTGCAACGCCCGTGCATTTGCCAATCGGGACGATCGAAATTGGTACGGAAAGAATGGGTACGATGCCCAACAGGAAAGTCGGTTCATTTTGAAGAGGGCTCGCTGTCCGCACCGCCGCGGACGCTGTTCTTTGAAGACAAACAGCCGCCTGCCCAACAGCGGCCGCTGTCGGTTTTGGACAACATTTATTGTTTGGCATTGTGCCCAGCTGTTCCGTACCCGTTTCGGGCGTACAAAGCCAAGCGAGACACAACGAGGGCGGAGGCAGCGGCGCCTGCAGGAAAAGCAAGTTTGCCCATTCCTATCTGCCACGTTCTGCCCGGCAGAGCTCCATGCACACATCGGGTGGCTCGTGCGATGTTCTCCGAGCGTCTCGAGCAGCCGTCTTTTTAGGAGGCCTACCTGTTACCAAACACGTTTGCTTCGGTGATCGTTTTTGTTATTCATTGTTTTGCCGATCGGCGCGAGCCCTTGCAACCCCCCTCCCCCCTGGAGTAGATCTTGGCTGTTTTTTGGCGCCTGCTTCGAGCGGGTGGAGGCTCCCCCAGAGGCAGCACTATTGCAAACAGACGCACGACGCAGAGGTCTGGAGCCAGACCCCCCCCCACCACACCTCCCCCTCCCCTCCCGCCCAATGTCGAAACGCCGAATAAAAAATAAGAGAAAAAACGCGCCCACTTGCAGAATGCCCCCACCCCCCACCAAGCGCAGCCAATCTCTCCCAGGGACACTTCGGATTTGTGCCCGCGACTGGGACGCAGCAGCGCGGCGGACGCCCGGCTGCGCTCGGGCCGTCGCCATCGGGCGGGCGGCCCTCGAGGCGCGGCACTGGGGAAGGCCGCCCGAGGGCGCGGGCAGCACCCCCCCCAGGTGGAGGGTTTCTCCGAAGGGCTTGGGCGACCCCTCCTCCTCCTCCTCCTCCTCCTCCTCCTCCTTTCCTCCTCCTCCTCCTCCTCCTTTCCTCCTCCTCCTCCTCCTTCTCCATCTCCTCTTCCTTTCCTCCTCCTCCTCCTCCTCCTCCTCCACCTCCTCTCCTCCATCTTATCCCCCTCCCCCTCCTCCATCCACCTCCTCCTCCTCCTCCTCCTCCTCCTCCTCCTCCTCCTCCTCCTCCTCCTCCTCCTCCTCCTCCTCCTCCTCCTCCTCCTCCTCCTCCTCCACCTCCTCCTCCTCCTCCTCCTCCTCCTCCCCCCCCTCCTCCTCGGCTCGCCTACGGCCCTGGGGGAAACCGTGCACCCTGAGGAAGTGCGGGCTGCGGGCGTGAGGAGGAGGTAGAGGAAAGAAGGGCGCGGAGGCAGAGAGCAGGAAAAACAGAGGAATCGAAGAGGGAGGGGGTGGAGGTACAGGTGAGAAAAGTAACAGGGAGGAAGAAGGAGGGACAATGCTCCCTCGTGTGGTAACTTGTTATGTGTGGGCCGGTTTGAAGTTGCAGCGGACACTGCGCAAGCAGACAGACTGTCCACGGTTCCGCAACCAGCACCCCATCCGCGCGTAGATCGACCCCGAGATGTTGCACGACGTCGTTGATCAGGATGGGGTCCTCGGTCGGTGTGCGACGGTTGAATCCTTCGTCAATCGATCATCGTTGGTATGTTTACCAATGCAGGGCCATGCCGTGTTGCCCCAATGTTTGTTGCAAGTTGCATGTGCGCCTGACCGGCGAGCCCTGGCCGGCAATGTGCGCCCTGCCTACAGTAGCAATTCAAGAATGCAGCCGTCCAGTTGGGTGCTCTTCGGCAGGTAAGCTGGGTACATCGTGCACGATCACGATCGTAATGCTACAAGAAGACTTGGCGAAAACGAGAACAGTCGGGACGTGTCGGTGGTTTGATCTCTGTCGCTTGAATCAAAGGGAGGCGACACTGAACTCCTGGACGCTGTAGGTGTGCCAGGCCACCCGGCATAATCTGCCAGGGCGTCAGAACCGACGCCGCGTCGCAAGCACCTCGCGGACATTTATTGAGCCGAATGCTCTTTGGCTCCCCGGCCAAGATCCCCGAGCGCCCCCGTCTGCGAGTGCACTCTTGGCCAGTGAGCCTGCGCACAGCGTGAACGTAGTGCATCTTCCGCGCGCCCCTGCTCGGCCAGAAGCCGAACCTGTGTCCTGACGAGCCGGCGCTCCCCGCCAGCGGCTTGCAAGCTCTTAGGTGCTATGATTGCGGACAGCTCGCATCAGGGGCAAAGATACGGGGGGGATACGGCATAGGGGGGGATGCACGACCCCCAATCGCCCATTGATCGCCGATAGGGGCCCGATAGCCCCAACCTGCCCAGGAAGGTGCGGACTCACTGTCAGAGGCCTATTGCCCATCTATCGGCGATGTATCGCCGATTCCAGGTCGAGGCATCCCCCCTATGCCAGTCTCCCCCTCTCGTTGCCCCTCATTGCACGTGACACAGGCAAGGCAGGTTACAACCATGTTGCAATCAGGTTGCACGTGACACAAAGAAGTCGTATGGTTTGATCGAGACAGATCCTGAGCAGTATGATAGAAAGTCTTGTAGTTGTGGTAAGTCTCACAGAACTCAGCACATGGTTGTGCCCTGCTTGAGCCGCATTCCAGTCGAAAGGCGCTTGCTCCCCTTCATCAATCATGCGCTTCACGCGTCAACGAGCCACTGTAACCATTCCCGGCGTGTCGGCCATTGCATGCCTATTAAATGCCCAAGCTATACCGTCTGGGCCCATTGTCGTTATCCTTTCTTCATGTTTTAGGTACTGGTTGGACCTCTTTGTGGAAGATGGGGCGCGTGCCCGCCAGAAGCAAATTGCCGATCGGTGTTCCTTCCACGGCTCCCAGAAGCCGTTCGTGCCATTGCACTTGCCCCGATTCCCTTGTCGTAGTGGCAGCCCACTGCTGGTCTGAGTGCTGACGAGTCGATTGCCGTTCTGGCCCAGAAAGCGTCCCCAAGCTCGCCATCTCGACTTCCGCGGGTTCTTGATTGTTTTCCATCTCCCTGCTTTCACCTGCCTTTCGGCCAATTTTGTTTTCGCAATGATCCAGTATCCAGTGCTTTGGAGTCAGATTGTGCAACGTCTTCTCCAAAGCGCTGATTCCAGATTCCCGAGCTTCCCGCCTTCGATGCACAATCTGAATGGTTGCGCCTGTGATCCATGGTATGCTGACCCTCCGTATAGCTTGAGGTGGCCTCCCATGCTGCTTCCACCATTGCTGCTTCCACCATGGCTTCTTTCGTGGCCTCCCATGCCCCAGCAACCGTGCAGACGTCCTCGGATTTATCGATGATGTCGAGATTGTAACGCCACATATGCAGATCGCGCTTGTGTTCAATCGTATCCAAGGCTCGGGTGTTGCGCCTCTTGCGATGCGTAACCGTACCGTTGTCAAGACCAAGATGAGCAAAATGAGCTCATGCCAGCAAGTGCTGCCCTGCGGCAGCCTTAACACAATCAATGATGCAAAGGAGCAGGAGGAGGAGGAGGAGGAGGAGAAACAGGGGCCTGGATGGCAATGATCCGCCATCCCGCCCCCACAGCAAGAGAACAGGTGGCGGGCATGAGGGACGACACGAACACCGACGGGCACCGGCACCAATATCTGGCTCTGGGCGACCAAATCTTGCTGCCCATTTCGGGGGTCCGAAGGGGAGGCGACAACGATCCTGAGACGGCCCGAAGACGCCTGTAGAGAGTCCCACGAGAGCCCCCTGGAGCTGAGAATCCTTTGTGACGTCGAAGAGTGCGCAGAACGACGCCGAGTACTTTTCGGCTTGGAGGGTGCCTTGGGGCTCTGTGCAGAGGCCATCTAGGGACACCCAGAGGTATCTTGAAAGTCTCGTGTGTGTGTGAGTGTGTGCGTTTGTGTGTGTCGTTGTGTGTGTGAGTGTGGGTGTGGGTGTGTGGGAATGTGGGTGTGTGGGTGTGGGTGGGTGTGGGTGGGTGTGGGTGGGTGTGGGTGGGTGTGGGTGGGTGTGGGTGAGTGTGGGTGGGTGTGGTGGCTGTGGGTGGCTGTGGTGGCTGTGGGGTGGCTGTGTGCGGCTGTGGGTGGGTGTGGGTGGCTGTGGGTGGGTGTGGGTGGGTGTTGGTGGGTGTGAGTGGGGTTTGGTGGGCGTGGGTGGGTGTGTCTGGATGTGGGTAGCTGTGGGTGGATGTGGGTGTGGGTGGCGTTGGGTGGCTGTGGGTGGCTGTTGGTGGCTGTGGGTGGGTGTGGGTGGCTGTGGGTGGCTGTGGGTGGCTTTGGGTGGCTGGGGTGGCTGTGGGTGGGGGTGGTGGGGGAGATGGGGTTGTGTCTGGGTTGTGGGTGTGGTTGTGGGTGGGGTTGTGGGTGAGTGTGGTTTTGGGTGTGGGTGGGTGTGAGTGGGTGGATGTGGTGTGTGTGTGTGTCGGTGGGGGTGGGTGGAAGTTGGTGTGGGTGGGTGTGGGGGGGGGGTTGTTGTGGGTGGGTGTGGGTGTGTGTGTGTGGGTGTGTGTGGGTATGGGTGGGTGTGGGTGGGTGTGGGTGGCTGCGGGTGGCTGTGGGTGGCTGTGGGTGGCTGTGTGCGGGTGTGGCTGGGTGTGGGTGGCTGTGGGTGGCTGTGGGTGTGTGGGGATGTGGGTGGGTGTGGGTGGGTGTGGGTGCGTGCGTGCGTGCGTGCGTGCGTGCGTGCGTGCGTGCGTGCGTGCGTGCGTGCGTGCGTGCGTGTGTGTGTATGTGTGTGTGTGTGTGTGTGTGTGTTTGTGTGTGTGTGTGTTTGATTGTGTGTTCGTGTGTGTGGTGTTATTGCTGCTGTTGTTGGTGGTGCTGGTGGTGTTGGTGGTGTTGTTGTTAGTGATGTTGTTGGTGGTGCTGTTTTGTTGCTGTTGGTGTTGCTGGTGGTGTTGGTGTTGTTGTTGGTGTGTTTGTTGTTGGTGGTGTTGGTGTTGTTGGTGGTGCTGGTGAAAATGGTGGTGAAATGGTGGGTGAGGGGGAGGTGCGCGGGTGGGGCACGGTCCTCCGTGCAGCCAGCCCAGCCAGCCCAGCCCAGACCCCCCGCAGCTCTCTGAGTGCTCCCATCCACCAGGACCAGCCTCTATCGGGTCCTGGGCACACCAACGCACGCGCGACCAACGAACACGCACGACGAGGTTCTGCCACAGCGCGAGACAGCATCCAGCCTTGGACCTGTCCGTGTGTGCAACCCTCGGTGGTTCACGAGTCGGCGTTGGATCAGGAGGGAAAAAGCACAGACACCATTAATCACCGATTCCTCAGAAATATCGGAAAATATGGGAAGTGGGGGGGAAGACAGAAACCCAGAAAACATGGGGAAATGTGGGGATTCCTGCTATTTGTGTGTGTGTATTTAATTGTGTGTCCCAGGACCCCTTCATTGGAGGGTGGGCCGTTCCGGGCGGTGTGATGGTGTAACACTTACACCACGCGACCCTGCACAAGGGCTCGCATGAGCATGTGGGGGAAACGCGCACCTTGAGCCAGTGCGTGCGCGCTCGTGCGTGCCACCTCCAGGGGGGGAGGGAAGGAAGGGGGGAGGGACAAGGACGGAGAAACAACCCAGCGGCACCTTGCGTGTAGGCCGAGGCTACCACCCGTGCAGGGAGGGCGCGCTGGCCATGCTGAAACAAGCTGGAGGCCACAGCCAGCCGTGCCATCGCGCCCGA